GCAAATAAGTGTTTTCTGTAGTTTGTTTTGCTTTGCTTTGTTTTTTTCTGGGTTTGCTTTACCGTTGGACCAGGATCAGCATCAACATACAGTACGCTGCTGTCACTGTGGTTTTATTTCAGAATATTGAAAACTGAGACAAACTTGTAATTCAATGCTGAGCACAAGGTGTGATGCTTCAGCTATGATATGAGAAAAGATGTCTAAGAACATAAAAGTCTCATAGCTCACCACTCCGAGCAGTAAGGGTCTGCTAATGTCCAGGTTGGCTCTCCATGCAAAAAACAGCGAGTAGACCACCAGCATGACAGTTAACAGCCAGGACACTGAGCGACACCTCCTAGGACGGGACACCTCGGGTTATTCAGCGCACAAATATTTAACCAGCTTTCCTTTTTTTTCTTCATGCACAGTCTGCCATTTCCATATTTTTAGTCTAATGTATCACTTTGTCTATTTACTCTGTAAAAATATACTTGTTTTGAATAAGTCTGTAAGAATATTAATGCACGGACGGGGATCACAAGCCTGAGAGAAAACGTATCTGCCAGCAAGCTAAGAGGTGCATGATTGATTTTCTAATGCAGACTGAGTCATAATGAGCCGGTGCCAACCGCTGAATCACAAACTCATTACAGTACAGCTGTAAAACGTTCTTATACACCAAAAAGAAAAAATTTCCCCTCGTGGCAAAAAAATAAGCCATCGTCCGAACCTGAAGAGACAAGCTTTCAGGTTTCCTGCCAACAAACTGATTTGCTGATCTCCGTCAGCCGGACACTTATAATCACTCAAGCTTTTCTTGATTTACGTTTTCCTTACTTACAAGCACCATAGCTAAAAAGCAAATGAAATCATATTTATAACCTTACACTTTAACATGGGGCAAATAAGCATTTGCCGGGTTTCCTTTGGGCAATCTATTAGACGACCTTCCTCTTCTTCATCATCTGTCTGTGTATGTAGCCAAGTTTATTGAAGTGCACCTCGGGAGAAGGGGAATAGCTTGTGCCCTGCGGGGCTTTGGGGCATTACTGGGGCTTTATCAGCTCCACCCAACAGATCCCAGCAAAGGCTCTCCTGTAATGAATTACAGGATCACGCTGCCACATATAGATGCATACAGGCAGTGATTTACTTGTACACACAAACATGATTTTGAAAATCCAAAATACACATCAAATCCTCTTGATCTGAATGTGGAGCGTCGTGACAGTTTGACAGTTAGGTGCCTCAGTGTTGTTTTGTATTCTTTTTTTCTAAGATCAGCATTTTGTCAGTGGTTTTGTTCCCCGTCTTTTACTCCAGGGGATTAGATTTTTGTAGTTGAAGTGGGTGCTGAGATGTGCGTGACAGAGTTTGGTGTGTTGCACGCTGGCATCCAACTCATCCTTACCTGTCCAATGAGGAGAGCGCAAAGCCCATTCCTGCCAGTACCAAGACAGGAAGTGAAAGTTCTGCCAGGGAGTGGTCCAACTGAGCCCTGCACGCACAAACACACACAGAGACATGACGGACACCGAAGACAAGCTCAATTAGCCTCCCTGCTACTGAACTCAAGGACACCAATTATTAAATGCCCTTCATCCCCTATCAAAACAAACTCCTTGGACTGTGCACTCCTCCTTTCAATCGGATTGACAGATACGAATGACTGTGTCATCCACCCCCCACAGCCCCATCCTCTCCTCACAGCGCCTGTCAGTCACACAGCGCTTGCTCAGAGCGGAGAGATAGTTTCCTGCCTCTTCCTTAATACCCATCTCTATTTGACAGCTTATTGAGTCTCTATATCTCCCAATGTACACTATGTGTGAATGTGCTCATGAGCGTGTGTTCGTGTGTGTGTGTGTGTGTGTGTCAGTTATTCCAGTGGGTTTACGTCTCCAGTGCGACATGCCTGTCATGTTCGCCTCTCTTCCCCATCTTGAAGGTGTGCTTGTCCATCAAGCAGCAGGGGTGATGGAAAGGGGTGGGTGCTTGGCAGAGGGGGTGCTGGTAGTGGGGGGTCTTAAGACGCACACGCACCCCATCCCGTCAGCTGGAGAAAGATACCAGGAATGGGATGACTGTGGTGGTGGTAGCAGAGGGAAGCAAGGGAGGGAATGGGGTGGAGGGGGTGGGGAGGTGCTAGAGTGGAAAAATACAATTTCTCAAGCTCTATTGCAATGTCTGTCATCACAGCTTGTCACGCTTAAACACCAGAGCTGAGTGATCATTTCAAACTGCTGGAGAAAGAGAACACAGTGATTTGGCCCTCTAAGCAGGTTCAGTTCTGCTTTGATGGGAGAGAGTGGAATGGGAAGAACAAAAGCTGCTGGGGAGAGTAAGGGAAGAGATGGGCTGCAGAAATGACTGTGGGCCCTTATAATGGCTTGGTGTGCGTGTGTATGTGGCTAAACCTGTGTAAATCACCAGAACCATCGCAAAGAGCAGTTGGGTCTTCCATCTCTAGTCCCAAACGTGCCCTCACTGTGCCTCAGATCAAATCGACCTACTTTCCTCCCTTCTCCATCCTAGATCCTACTGTCTAAATAGAAATGAAATACTCAAATCAAACATGCTGGGCAGTTTATGGATGAGAAACATACTGTTTCCTGCGAGACGGACTAAATGTGCTGCTTTGGCCACAAAAACTAGAAATTCAGTGATGTTACTTTGTTCTGGGAAACGATGATGTGAGTTTAGCTGATGGTCATTATACGCATTAAATGACCATCTTGTTGTGCCGTTTACGATATTCAGACCAGGAAGTTTCACGTGCAAACAGCAGAAAGACTGTTTACTTACTGCAGCATTGTGGTCAGGTTAACCGAGCTTTCTGTCTTTGCCTGCAAAACAAAAATCAATGTAAGCTAAGCCAACAGGGTCAGGGTCTGTTTAAATGCAGCGAGGCAAGCAACACTTACCAGACAGAATGTGCCATATTCAGCTCGCAGCAGGTGGGTCAACAGACCCGACAGGGTGGTCTGGTCACCCCAGCTCCAGCGGGCTGTGTTGAGGTAGGATGAAATCGGCAGGTAGATGTACGGCAGGAAGCCAGCGAGGAAACAGAATCCCAGAGATACAAGGCCACGCAAAGACAGCTCCTGTTTAAATACAAGGATGAGATGTTCTTAAATTCATGTTGTCCAAACCGTGAGCAAGAAAGTCAAATGGAACGTGTGCGTGTCAACAAGACTGGAGAGCCTTGTTTGGTCATGCTTTTCCCTAAAAGCCCCTCTTTTCTTAGACCAACAGTAACTTCGAAGTTACGCTAATTTCCAGCTTCATATATTTAGAATTCAGAGTTTAAAACAATCCATATTTATATCTATCTTAAAGCCATTTTAGCTCCTCTCCCTTTAAACCAACTTCCCTCTGATTGGCTGAACTTTACAAACAGCAGCTTTTAATGAGAGGAAAATATCTTGTTTTTGAAGTCTTTTTATTTCTGTCAAAAAACTGCACACAGCCTGTTTCTTCTTTGCCATCTATAATTCTCTTTATTTAAAGAGACCCTGTGACTTACCTTTTGAGAGCACAGTCGGTAAAGGACCCAAGGAATGATGACCAACACATACAGCACCAGTGTGTGCTGGTTACAGAGCCCCAAGCCACAGCATAATGCCCCCCAGTGTGCAATCTAACAGGGACAACCAAAACAGTGCAGCATTGTGCGTTTACATTGAATAAAACATAACCTGTGTGTTGCATCTGTTGTGTGGTGTTTTGAGTTACCTTCTTCCTCTGCGTGGCATTTTCAGCACAGCGGAAGCTGGCGGTCAAGAAGAAGAGAAGGCCAATAAAAAGGTTATTGAGGGTGAAGACCTCTGCCACCATGGACCACTGCCAGCTGAGTCTGGACACAGCGAACAGCCCACCAGCCAGCACTGCTCCAGGACCAGGACCTGCCAACCTGAAAGTGTAGAAGAAGAGGGTTTTACTCTTTAGAAAGGACTGCATCTGAGGACAATGACAAGAAGTTAATTACAATCTGGTCAACTAAATTAACCATTGTACTAATTTAACCATCTGGATGTTTCAGTTGTTTAAAACGACTGCATTAAAATGAACCTCAAAAACAGTATTTCTAAAGGCTGCAGAACTTAAATTGCTTTTTTCAATTTTTTTTTATCTAAGTTGCACTGCAACGACACACTGAAAAAAAAACAGAGAGAAAATAACAAAGTCAGCAGCTTCACACAAATTTTAAATGTTGTTGTCAAAAAAGCCACCACTTCCCTATAACTAATTTGGGGACCCATTATAATCTTCCTTCTACCCAAGTTTGCTTCTCGGACAAGACCTTGAAAAACACTCAGCGATTTGGGGTAATTCACATATCATGAGAAGTCCCTCTCGAGCAGCCGGTTGATCTTGAACAGACTGGCACAGAAACCACCGTGGTGGAGATAGCACTTTATCCTCAGCTTCTTAAATATAATGTGTGCACAAAAGTTTTCCCCTTCCTCCTCTCCTGTACTGTCTCCGTCTCCTCTGCGGTAATTGAAGCAAACTTGGGATAATCTGTCATACGCTAAGACCCACCACTTACTAAACTGAGAGACAGAGGGGGAGAGAGAGTGAGGCGACAAATGATGGGGAGAAGGGAAAGAAAAGGAAAATAGTGCAGAAAAGTGTGCATTAAAGGGGTGAGACAGTGTGCGGGATGTAGGATGAAATATAGAAAAAGGAAGAAAAAAGTTCAAGAAGAGAGAGGGGAAAGAAGAGAAAAGGAAAAAAAGGCAACCCAGTCCCCAGCATGCTGGCTCTGAAATATGAGCAGGCTCGACAATTAGGGAAGTCAGGCAGTATGGCCCTTTCCGCCATTGTGTGGAGTGGCTTAGAGTCCTCATCAGCCTATCAGCTAACTGACAGGCAGAGAGCTGCTCTATTCAGCACCGCAGATACAAGCTGCAGGCCAAACGGCTGCCAGGTCCCTTATGACCCCACAATCCCTTGCCGGTGACAGCTTCAAGCTCCATAGCAAATTAGGCGCTCTCACATTACAATCGCAGAAGACAGATTCCATTAACGGTATCTGAAATTGAGTAGAGAGCAGGCCCGTTATCAGACCTGACTCATAAGCACCGCCATTAATCACAAGGCATGATACCATTTATACATTTCCAGCTCTCTGCCTGCCGCTGTGATAGTCAGCCACAAAAGGCCTGATGAGACTTAGGCTAGGGGAACAATGGAGCTTTCTGAGGAAAGCGCGGTAAATCAGGAAAAAAAGGAGAGGGAGAGCGAGAGAAGGGTGGAAAAAAAAAAACTTTAGCTTGCTGACTACTTCCCCTTTTATTCTTGGGTTTTCTCTCTGCTACTCTCGACTATTTTTTTCTGTGTTCTCTGTAAGGCAAGCCTGCTGAATGAGCACACGTATGTGTGTGCGCATGCACTTAATGGGGTTGGGGGGTTGTGGCGTCTAGGAGTGGGTCTTAATAAGCGATAGCAGCGACTTCCTCGCTGCACCGCTCCAGGAATTAGTTGTAACTTGAAGGAAAAATGAAGAAGGGTGGCGTTTCTAGAGGGGGGTGGGGGGATGCAGATGGGGACTTTTGTTGAGGTGCAGAGACCTCCCGCACCCATAATTTTACCTCCTCACATGACAATTAACCCACAGCTCATGCACCTAGCGGGGGGCTGGTTTGGGGGTGGCACGGGGTGCAGAGCAGTCATGGGGGTCCCAAAGAAGGGGTTATTACACCAAGTCTGTTCCTCCTTCTGAAGCTCGTCTGATAGCCAGCACTCGTCACATATTCAAAGACACACACACAGGCACACACTTCTGTTCCTGAACTTCTTTATTCTCCCTGAGTGCCTGACAAATCTCTCTGTTAGAGCTTGTCAGTCAGTAAGAAGCCAGTGATGTGTGTACAGTGCAGGCTGTAAATGACCTGTCTGTCTGCGCGGGACCACCTGGGTCCCAGTCAGCCTCTCCACAGCTCATTCTCCAGGCTGGCTGCTCCCAGGGCGCTCGGATAAAGCAGGACACATTTTGACACCAGTGTGGCCGTGTTCCCTGTTATCACGACTCAGTGCTGTGCAGGATGCTGCCGCTGTACTGAAATGTTGTGGCTCAGTGACAATGGACTGGTTGGGACGTGGCAGGAGAATAACACGGCTGACAACGAGACTATTCAACCCTGAACTGATCCAACCTGCCAAAAAATGCCTGCGTCATCACTTGGGTAATTAAGGAATGACCAATATACTTAAAGCCTGAAACGAAACACAAACTTGGAAATAAAGTAAAAAAAACTATCCATAATTCAACTTGAATAATATGAAAGAGGAGCACAGGCTGAAAAGGGAGGATTAAAGGTAAATAAATAAAAAAAGACAATGATACGAGAGACAATGTCCCCTTCAAGGACACAATAAAGGCTCAGTATAATCACTTTGAAGTGTCAAAATGAGAACCTGCCTCATTTACACACTCGGTTCTACAGTATGGGCCAGAGACATGCCAGCATCGGCCGTCTGCGCTAAACAGCATCACACAAAAACCTACACCAGCACTCTGCACTGAATGAAGCTTCACAATGGAGCTGGCTAAGAGAGCCGCTGTTACACACCACCCCAGGGAACAGACAATACCACAGCTGTGCCATCGCGGATCAACAACGCACTGTTCTCTAACCGAGTGGTGGTTTGGGTTAAGCGGTGCTGGAAAACAATCACACATTCCTGAAGAGGGTAAAAAGCCCGAGAGAGAGGGGGTGGCCTTGCTCGGGCTGAGGCTGAGGTTTCCAGCTGGCCCGAGCAAACACCCCAGGGCTCCCCTCTGGCCGGGACACCAGGCAGGCTATTTAGCAGCTATTATATGACAGGGGTATGATGTATTGCTTTGAAGTTTCAAAGCCAATCTGCAACTGATACACAAACATTAAGGGATGTCAGTAAATCAAAGTATTGGCTTTGATTTAGTACTACTAAATGACCCAATGTTAATTTTCTTTCAGAGGAATTACATCATGACAGTACGATCAAACTGTTTTACGATTTTATACATTTCTGCTGTTTCGAGTTTAAATGGGTTAAGTTCTTTTGTCACATGAGAGCAGAAAGATTTGTAGATTTCTGGGTTATCAAAAAAAGATGCACTTCAAAAAACACGACACTGGAGTTTAAAATCTAAAATAAAATATGCAATGTGCAGTATTACACGTAGAGTCAAGAGCTTAATTTATGCTTGAGAGTAAAAGCCAGGAGATGTTCGTTTCTGCTGTTGTGATTATTATAAATTCATCATCTATCAGCTGCACAATTGTTTAGGTATGCAATGCTATATTTATTTTATATGGTTATTTAAACAGAAACATAACAGTCGTGTTATATGGTGATATTACTGTTGATATTAGTAATATGGCAGCACTGACATCCATACAGTTACCCTTTCACTTCCCTTTAATAGATAAAATATTGATTATAATTACCTATCATATATATTTTAACTTTGCTAGCTGGTGGAATGACCACTGGAATGACGGCTGTTTATGATATTTTTCCCGATTATTTCATCTTAAACTACAATAAGAACTAACTGAGAAAATCTGATTTCTAACTGACGTCCACACTGTATGTTTCAGGAGGGGAAGAAAAAGTCTATCAAGTCTCCAAACCAAGCACTTCCCCATCTTTCCTTCCCTCGTGCGGTGTATGAAGAAGACGCTGTCTGTTTGCGCTGAAAGGAGGGTAAACACGGGTCCTGGCTCTGCCGCTCAGACACCCCTCCTCCAAGAAAGCGCTCCAGCGCTACAAGTGCGTGTAAAATTAATCACCACAATTCTGTTCAAACAATGCAGCCACTGACATGACAATTTCTCCCAGAATGCCATCTTAATCTCCACCCAACACACAAAAATTACAGGAAGAGGGGGGTGAAAAAAAAACAATTTAGAAAAATCCCGTGTTTATGCAATTCACTGAATGCCATTTTTTATTGCTGCTTTTTTCCAACAAAGTCATTAGGCACACACCAGTGATACATAAATGTTGCTGTATAGATTCCATTAACTAATTCTGGGTGAATTGTAATTGCCGAGTCTGATCCGTCTCTGTGCCTGGTGCCTTATTAAGACTGCCTGTGGTGGGTGAGGAATGTAATATTGACGTCCGAAGCAGACACAATCTCGGGCCCATGGGCAAAAGGAATATTAAACTGGTACTGTATTCTGCTGTCTATCTAGCCCTCCTCCCTCCTCCGCTCTATCCCCATCCCGTAGCCAGTAATGAGGAAATAACATCTTCATTAGACATCTGTTTAACTGTATTAGAGGATGAGTCCTGGGGGAACCATTGGTCATGCTGAGGAGGGTGGGAGTAAAGGAGGTCTGTTGGACTACAATGTGACGGATGAGATACTGCAGAATAGGAACAAAAGGTCCAGCGATTGAGGCCTTTTAAACAGACAAACTTAAAATTGTCTTCTGCATTTTCATAAATAAAATAAAAAAATAACAGTAATGGGTGTATTCTCTATGGATACTTGGGCTGAAGATTTTATCCAAGAGTAGCAGACGTGAGAGGGAGGGGCATCCTTGCCACCTACAGGAAGAGGTGAGAGCATTACCCAATAAAACAACTCTGTTCAGCTGTTTTTTGGATACAAACCCACATCAGTGGTTGCTAAAAACAATTCCCCCACACGTCGCTCCTGACACGACCTCAACAAGACACACACAACCCCACCCCTTTGGAAAAACAACCCACCTGAGCAAGGAGAGAAAGCACCATCGGGACCATATGGTGGAGGTCCTTATAAGGAGCTGGGGATGCAGCACGCGGCAGGGGATGGCACCACGCCCACCCTCCCGTCCACTGAGGTGTCAGCTGTGCCACATGGGCTAGCTCTTGGCAGGGGAGCCTTTCGCAGGTGTGCGGTTTTTCTCTCGAGGGCCGCCGGGGAAAGAGGGAGGCCAGACACGTTTGGTGTGCTTCAACGGGCCTGTTATGTAATCATGTGATCAAACCGAAAAGTGCTGATGACTGAGCGGGGCGAAGTTGGGGGGGTTTTTCTGCTGTGATGGCTGTCAGCTCGCTAACGTGTCTGCTCGCGGTGTCTCGGGATAAGCTGGGGAATGGAGAGAGATTCCTCTCAGGTAGCAGAGATTCAGAGCAGCTTTAGCAGATAAACTATGAAACGAGAGAGCACAAAATACAGAGCTGTCTGGATTATCCCGCTACGCATTCCTCCAGAGACTCACAGCTGAGGCCTTTAGCATTCCACCAGCCAAATGTTTCTCTCTGTGAACCTCCAAGTGCAATCGATAGTAATTATCATTACGTCCACCATCCTCAAAGGCTTGTCAGGCCGTGGTGTGAAAACATAACAAGACATGCAATTCGGCCATCAAACTATATGATCAAGCAAAGAAAACTGTAATTGACAAATCAAAGGGAAGCTAAATTGCTACATTTAAACTTATGCAAGAGAGAGAAGTGGCTTCCAAGCCTATCAACTTACATTCCCCCACATTAAACACGGCAATCTGGCCGACTAATTTAAATTGATACATCAAAGGCTCACAATGTTGGGTATATTCCAGATGAATTTCAAGGTCTTACCATTTATTATTTGAGAGAAACTGACTTCGAGTACCCGTATTAACTTCAAAATATTTTGCCATCTGAACATAATTTCACAAAGCAATAATTTGTTTGGGAGGGTGAGGTCGGCCTATTTCCCAGCAAATGAAAACCAAAAAAATGAGAAGTAGTTACAAAAAAAACTGTTTAGGAGGGCCAACAAAGGGACAAAAACAACAAGTGACATTTAAGAAATTAATTATGTTGGGACACAGCACACTCACTACAAGGGCAGAGCAGGTATGAACGGCTGGTCAGTTTTGGCATTTCATCTGAGGGAAAGGCCTGAACAGAGGGTCTCTGCATGGCCGTGGCATTTATGCCAGTATTGTTGACAGGGTTAAATCACACAAATGCCCTGCACGCCAGAACCAAGAAGCAGGTCTCGACCATCCGGGAACCCTCGCCCAGTTCTCTCATCTTTTGCCCTCTCCAGTAACCCCCCAGTAACCTGAGTGTGCCAACTGATCCACAGCCTCATAGCTCATCCCAGTCTAGGCCCTGAACAGATAATGACTAAAACCTTTTATGCTTATTTCTCTAAACTGGAAGCGTAGATTATACATTCACACTTAAGAGCTTATATGGTGTAACTGTGCGCTCTGGATGAAGTCCTCACCACTCATCAACCCTAGCTGGCGGTTGTGGGTAAGGGGGGTTGCAGAGCCTTTTAATGACTTTTTAGTTGACCATAATCCACAACTGGATCTAAATCCCCCGAGATTATAAACTGGGGCTACGGTTAACATGCAAAATAGGAGCCAAATATCAGCAGACAGCATGGATATTTTCGGCCCTCAAAATAACTGTAAATGTCTGGCCAAGAACGGAGTCCAATCAAAAGCCTGAATACCAGGGAAGCAATAAGGATGTCCAGTTAAAGCATGACAAAGAAGTGCAGCGTTTTAACACCCCCCCCCCTTTTTTTTTTAACCCTCTTTTTATTGTTTTGTCCTTTTTGCCTTGTCCTGGGAACACTGGGGAAAGCTGGCAGCCTTTGGTTCACCTCTCAGAGACAGTAAGACAGGGCAGGGTCTAAGACTGATGCAGTCTGGGCTTAAGGCCAGTCCCCTGGGTAGCTCTCCCTCTCCAGTCCCTGCCCTACTTCAGCAGGGCTGACCCTGTACCCTGACCTTCTCCAGACCTCCTGCCACATCGCACACACTGGCCAAGCACACAGGAAGCCGGCCCAGCACTGCGCACTTTATAACACACACAATTTCATTTTCACTTGCTGTCCTCCCGCTATCACAGAGTCCTCACAGCCTGCCAAGGTGTGCAGCAAGAAGAAATTACATCATCATATTCAACAATTTCTATTCTGGAAATAGTAACTTAGAAATATATGACATGATTGGAAACAGCCCAGTATGCACAAAGAGGGACAAAAAGGTCAAATGTTGACACTAAGCTGCCACCAAAATGCAGTGTGGAAAATGACTAAAATCAGCAAAAAGTGTGATGTAAGGCAGTCTGGTTAACCATGCAAGATAAACACACAGACAAAGCAGGAAGGGGTAAAATACTCCTTACATGATACGGTCAGCAGCAGGCGAAGCTGCAGGGTGGGTAGATGGCAATGCGGGGACCGTAAACTGTGTTTATGACTGAGCGAGGGGAGAGGTAGTTGAAGAGAGGGGAGAGGGAGGAGCGCAGAGAGTGATCCTGTTCCTCTCAGACCCAGGAGGCAAGAAGGGGAGAGATTAGAAATCGTGCCATGTCAGGATTGGGAGCATGCTGGGCAGTGGGGGGGGGCAGAAGAACAGGGATGTCAGGTTTGGGGGGGTGGAGGGCACAATAATTGGGATATACATACACATACACGCATTCTCACAACGGGTGGCTGATAGGTAAACAGGGAGGGTAAGGTGCTGGGAGGGAGGACGGCGACTGGGTTCTGCTTCTGAATACTGAACAGAGGATCAGGGAGACCACTGCCTGTCAGTCAGGGCCCAAAAATACCACTTTCTGTTCCAGACAGCTTCACGATGCAAAAAGTCAGTAGGGGAATGTTTAAAGACTGCCGCCACTCAAAAATGTCTTCTTATTATTGTTACTTCCCTTGATGTGAGTTAGTCACCAGAAGGCTCCTCTGCTGAAGGAGGGAGGCTCTTTGTGCCTTCCTTAAAGTTCTGTTTGAGAATTTAGTACTTCAGTTACTGATACCTACTCGATTGCAGAGTGCACCAATGTAATTTTTTTATACAATAACTAAAATCCCAGAACAGAACATAATGCATCAACAAATTCTGGAATTGGGAAACACATTTTTCATATGCCTACCTGCAGACAGTAATGCAGAAGCCACCACAAGCTGCAGCCCCCAGGAGGCTACTCATCAGGTTAACGCTGTGGGCTGGAGACAGTGAGGGCAGCAGATGCATAGCCATGTGAGCCAGTAGAGTGAAGAGTGGGTATCCTGGAGGATGGGCCACCTAAAGACACAAAAACAAAGACAAGGGCCATTTCACACGTGAACTTTTTACACTTTTGGGAAAATCAGGTGCTCCTTTCTTACATGCAGCATGTAGCAGGAGATGCGTTCTTACTGCTATACTAGAGGAAATACTCCATTTGGTTTGGGAAGGGAAGCAGCTTTGATAAAGTGAGTAAGGGGCAAAAACACGTGATTCTGCTCACTACTGTTAAATTCAGTGATCTGCTATTCACACACTGGCACAATCCCAGAGATCTGGCAGGCAAACCACTGATGTTTAGAGCTGCAGTATATGTAAAAATAGCTCACAATGTGATGCTATCACAATAGGTTTACCACGATGATGATTGTATCACAATACCTTATACATTAAGAGACAATAATCAATGATATATGCACCTTAACTGTGCAACTTTAAAAAAACAGAAGACAAATAGAAGAAAAAATGTATTTATTTCCTGCAATGTAGTGCCAGTGTGCATCACTATGAATTACTTTTACTCCATTTCAGTAATGAAACTGTTTTTCAGCTCTCTTTTCCCCTTTTAAATTTCTTCTTCTTCAGCTTCTGTTTTCCCTTAATTATGTGATAAGCGCCGGTAGTGACTCCGGTACATCGGGACTGTGTGGAGAGTCCCTACATAATTTACTTTTAAAAACTCTGATTTTTAACAACAGTGTACCATATCTGTAATTCTATCGCACAAGAAAGGGATTTAATATATTGCTGTATCAACATTTTATCCTCAGCAGGTAAGCACACGTGAATTTTGCGAGGAGTCAGAAACATCCTGCTTGGCTTTACTCTGACTGTGCTGTCATACGAGAGCCCTACACTCCCTTTCTTTTCCCCTTTTCTCACTTCTTTGCTGCGGGCCTCTTCCCAAGGACAGTGCAGCTCCCTAGAGCCCGTGGTATAACACGTGGTGCTCGCCAGCCTCAACCCCCAAACCACCGCAGAGCCGTAGTCATTTTCGCCTGGGAGATCTTGGCAATCGCAGCAATTAGCCACTAAGTCTCTTCCACCCAGATAAGGACTCAGTCATTAAACACAGACTCATTCCCTGGCACAGATAACACAAAGCATGCAGGCAGTGAGAAGGGGCAGCTCTTCGAATGAACAGAAAGCCGAAAGGTGAGAGTGTGACTGACTCACCAGTTACCTCGAACACGGCAAAGGATCTTTTTGCAGACATGCAAACAGCTTTGCTAAAATTTGAGTGAGGAGCTGGGAACGGAAAAGGCGCGTCGCAATAACTCGATGAGCAAAAAGCGAGGCTGTAAATATGAGAGAAAAAGAAAAGCTCCAGCAGCGAGAGTGGTGAACTAAATGGTAGCATCACGCAGGTGGGTAACGTCACCAAAATGAAGAGCGATTAAGAGCATGAGGAAGGACTGTGTGGGCTGACAGCAGTGTACAGACATGCAGCTAAAGGACAGCTGAGCGATAAAGGCCACAGGGAGCAAAGAGAAGGAGAACTCTCAAGCTCTGGGGATCAGAAGAGGGGGGCCAGCAGCCTGGGTCCCAGAGATGGCCTGCAAGGCCCTGGGGAGGCCTGAAAGGCAGACAGGCAGGCCACACGGACTGCAGCACTAACGGCAGGATTACTGGCATAGTGACACCGACACAGCCTCCCTAAAAGGATCACAGCGGCGTAATAAACTTTATTAAATAATAAAACTTATTATAACTGTTAACCCGATTTAGTTCATTCTTCGCGGCTTACACACACACACAAAAAAGAGGGGTGGATATAATAAGCCTTATACCGTACATAAGGCAAAGCCTACAAAAGCCATCGCCTTACCATTGACTTTAATTGGATTTGAAAAACGGGTTGCAAATTATAGCATTCTCTACTTGCAACTTAGTAAAATAAGTGTATAGAAAAGAAGGGGAAAAACCTGTGGACTGAAAGTAAATTAATCTGCTTTCTGCCCATGCTTAATTAAACTTCCTTAATGCTTATAAGAGTTAATGAGTGAATTGATTAAACAATACAGCTAATACTTACCCCCAGCTCACAAGCAGTGGTGATCAGCTCTCCTGTGGAAGAGAATAGGGGAGGAAATTAATGTAAACCCAATAATTATTATTAAGAGACAAGTCTGCTCCCAAAGTTTTCCCAAATCAAATACTTGCACTGGGGTTTTGCATTAATTTGCCAGGATCAAAACCTGCAAATCTTCCCAGTGTGACATTTCCTAAGCGGCACGCTCATTCTCTTCATCTTTCACTTCTCCCCCGATGCCTCCCTCCCTTCTCCGGCACATACACACAGATATAAACACACGCGCGTACACACAAACCATTAGACTCCCCCTCCAATGCCTTGTCACACAAAGACACACATATGCAGATCTGAGAATAATGCTTCCAGTCCCATCCTCCCCATGCATTAGGGTCCTTTCCTCTCCTCTTTCTTCTGCTGCTCTACGTGCCTCTCTGCTGCTCCCACACTCCTAATGTCTCAATGTCTCGTTTAGTCCGTTGGGCACAAACAGAAAGGCTACGCCGGTGACAGTCACAGAATGAAGTAAGCTGTAAAAATAAAAGCCGGCTGCACAATTTTTTGACAAGCTCTGTGTGAGGCGCAGCACAAAGTGAAAAGAAAACCCCTAAAAGCTTTTTGAGGGAGCTTTAATGTATCTGGGCACAAACCCATTTGTGCCAGAATACACCCAGAGCATTTCAAATTATACTGATTTCTCACCCAATGTTTGCATCTCCCACTCATGAAAATTGAAATTTGGTTCAGATTAAATGACATTGATAAATGTTTAGGTTCAGGACAGCCCCCTCTACTGGTACCAGACGGGTAGTCCCTTCCTCCGTCAAACACATCCAATGAAACGCTGGCCTTGTTTCTTGCAGACTCTATCACTTTTACAAGCTATGTCGAATCCGTAAGACACTACACGCGACTCCATTAAATCACATTAAGGTAAATTAATTTATATTGCTCTCCTGTGTTCACTGGTTTTCATACATATAGCACGTAAGAAAGAAGAAAAGAATACAGCTGTTTCAATCTGAGCAGCTGTTGGTGCTGTTACATATATTTAAAAACAAACAAACAAACATCTGCACAGTAGGGACATGAGCAGGGATGCAGTAACAACCTTTACAAAACAGAAGGGCTGGATTTCAGATGGCACTGGTTTCCTCTCATATTTTGCAACCTTGCTGATACAGTGAATTACGATGCCTAAATTTCTGCCACATGAGGAGCCCTAACTCTTATCAGTCTAATGGACCATGAAGTCAGAACTCCTCCACCTGCACAGCTTAAATGTTTCCACAGCTCCATTTCACCTGGCATGAGCCGCCAGCTACCTGCCATCATTTAACATCACACTTTCTCATCCTTCATCGGCTTCTCAATTTCACTCATTTTCCCCTTAGAAGTGGCACACTTTTACACCATTCAACACTGAAACTCAAACTAATACCAAGCCAAAACATCCATCTCAGTGCAACAGAGATGCAGTTCTGCAGCCCCAATACTAAAAAGGGAAAATATTGACTCAACGGGGTAGCAGCATGGGTGCCAAGAGTCTTTGTGATTGTGGAGCATGGGCACCCACACCAGTCTTCCCATAATCCCCATCATTTCCACACTCCACATTCCTAGACAACAGCGTACCCGCGGGGCTGCGCTCAAGCCTCTCCAGGGCACATCACACCTAAAGAGATTAGGACACAGAGACGGAGACCTGGAGAATTCGGAAGGGTGTTCAGCTGGCACTATCAGAGCGGGCATCCTGCACCGTCCCTAAACACTGTGGAGAAGGGGCTGGCCATTTTTTCAAAGGCCCTGTTCGTTAGACAGCAGCACAACCAGCAGGGCTACTCAGCACTCCAATTGCCCGCTCTCGCTTCATCTCTCCTCGCTTATATCTGGCCGAGCTTTTCTTGTGCTTTCATTCTGCAAAAATGCATTCCCTTCTGCAGCTCGCATGCCAAAGCACTAAAAACCTAACAAGCAGAGCCTTCATGCCCTCAAGTCCATAATTTACAAGTTTGTAACCTTGGTATCACTTCTAAACACTGTTTGTAATTGTTCAAGGCACTCCTTCATAAACTGCATTACAAGAATGTTGGGAAAACACATCGGAAGGTACTGAGTGGAATACATTCAAGTCCACAGTAAGCCGTGTTAAATGTAAATTAGGTTTACGCATGCACACAAAATATTGAATTTAAATAAACAAGGACAATTATTTGTAGTGAGTGGCTGTCAACAGTGCTTTGTCAGCAATTATGGTGTCTGTGTTACCCAACAGTCAGAAAAATGAAAAAATGCATAAAATGTGGAGGAAAAGTGCAATTAGGTGTGAGTCAAACATGGTTTGCAAAAACATCTAGCAAACAAAAGGTTGCTGGTTTGGTCTGGCGAGAGACACAAATACCTTTTGGGATTGTATCAGGAAGAGCATCCGTTGTTAAAAAATTAATTAATTAATATGTCACAAAATAAAATGAAAATGTTAACAGTTCTTAAACACATAATATTCAATTATTTGATTTTTTTTTTTTTTAATTGCAATTTTATATTACAGTACCATTGTATGTATGTGTAGCAGGTAACATTGGGTCAAAGCATATTTTTATAGTAACGACTGAATCACATTTAAGTCATTAAAATGTTTCCTTTTCATTCACTCTTAATAAAAATAGGTGTGAACCAAACTGTGACTTTGGAGAACTGTTATACCTCTACAGACTTCAACGAAATCCAAATAAGTTATGTTATAGAATTACAAGTAAACAAGTACAAGTACAACTAAAAGCAGCTGAGTTTAAAGAACAGAAAAGCATAAACTACATTAAACTACATCATCCCAAATAGGACAGGAAATTGTTCTTTACAGCACCACCAACTTATGTCAAGATAATTGACGTTAAGATATTTTAAAAGAATAAGAAAGAAAACAAAGAAATAAATACAGATAGTCGTGTATATTTTTGCATCATTTGTTAATTACAGTGACTGAATATTATGAAATAATGCCTTTTGTCTTTACCAGTCAGCGTTGATTCCAAAATCAGCCTTAAACACTGGAAGTAAAAAAGGTATTAGTGTCTCATTTAGAGGTTTTCGTATTTACCGCGGACGATTTAAAAACATGAATGAAAGAATGATTCTTTCAATTTATTTATGTGTATCTCAAAGTCTGGCATGTGTTTGTTTACGTTGTCACGTCGACAAACGTCGCTTTACCTGCACTTGCAGCACCATGGACAGCACCAGTCAAGCTGCAGCGGTTTCATCAACAAGGTGCAATATGATTGGCTCCCGGCAACACAACAAAGCCACGTGACCAAATGAGCGTTAGCTAGCCTGCTAGCACCAACCTGAGTCTCCACCGGGGACCGTCCTCTGCACACAGGGCACATACAGAGCGGCGACACAAGCGACCACGGTGCCTGTCAGTATCCAGCTTGCTCTGTGCTCCGCGGACATTTTGTTTCTTTCAGGGGAAATACGGACGATTTTCACTGAAATGTCTCTTAACTAGCGAGCTAACGTTAGCGTCCATGTATTCCAGACCCTTCGGGGTATAAATAAAACTTTGATCTACGTCTAAAACGATGTTGGGTAGAGATTAAGTAAATTTAATTTAGTTGTAAGTACAACCTTTGCATAGTCTTCAGCACACTTGCAGGAGAGTGTGCTGAGTTAGGTCCTTCCTGCCCGCGGAAAGTAGCAGCCACATTCACGCCGACTGGCTAACCTCGCGATATTACCGGACACGCTTTCCTCATAAGTTGCATTACTCATTGAATTGCTGTTTCTTGCTTTGTAAAGGGAAACAAAAACGAGCGTTTCAAATGAGGACGACCAGTGTTTTATCTCGGACGTGTTGGCCAAGCAACATGGTTATGACTACTTCCTGGTTCACTCAATGTCATTCAGGAATGTACATCAGTCTTCTTTCATCACTTGTATTCACAGAGCTGAACGGAGAGGGGTTGGGTCTGCATCTTTACGCTAGCACGACAGTTTATTTTTCTGTCAAAATTAGTCTAAAAATTGAAAGCCTTTCCTTTTTGCGCTTTACTCATAAATTTTAAAACATACTCAAGTTTTCAGGTTTCTTCCAAGTATAATATTGTGTGCTAAAATGTACAGAAATGGAAAGAACTCTCAATCTGGCTAATTTGTAAACTGAAACTACATATGCTAATGAGAAGTATGTGTTAAAGTCTAAAGGCTCAAACCAGCTACTTAAAGGGACCTGTTTGTGATTACTATTCATTGCCAGGCACCATTTTGAAGGATCAACATGCAAATATGCATTTTCTAATGCATATGATTTCTCAGTGCATTTCAAGAGCTTTAGTTGAGAGGGACTGCTGAGTATCTCAACTCAAACATAGCCTGCCTTCCCTCATTTGGAGGGGTTGTTTTAAGCCTTACAGTGAAAATGGCATTATTACTGGATTAAAACATTATTATATTAAAGCTGTTACAGTACCTGCTTCAAATGCACAATTACGTGCACAGTAGAGCACTAGATTATGCCAGAAACAAGATACACGAATTTGTAAATGTATCACAAGTGTCCATATTTCACAGGTTGAGAGGTGACTGTAATAAAGAAATTGCCCTATTGAACTGATAATAATCCCAGCCCACCATAAATGACTCTGATCCTTCAGTAAATTGAGCCCTTGGTGAGGTGGAGTGGTGTCAGCACCTAACCAACTCTCAGATGGCTCTCTAATCCTCCCGTCCTTCTCACCACCACCCTCACCGTCTAATCAGACTTGAACACACACATAACACTCACACCCATCTGACACACACAAACCAAAGTACTCACCCTTCCTCATACTGGGGCTCAGCCATCTCTTCAGTGTGATGTCACTGCTAATCCAAGCTTGGTTATCCACTGGGGTGCAGTGCTGGCAAGAGGGATGTGGGGAGGAGATGGGATGAATTTGTGGTGGTGGATGGCGGGGGGTGAGGGGTAATCAGGCACGTCATAAAGACTTCTCTCTAAAACCATCACTTCCATTAGCCCCTACCACATAGAAAGCTAGTCTTGTACCCAAACTGTACACATATGCGCAAATGCTCATTGGAGCGCCAATATGGACACATTTCAGCTCTGATATTTGAGATAAAACACAACTGTAGGCACATTCGCAGCCATGTAGCTCATATTTGGGGCACAGAGAAATCATTAGAGAGCCAGCTGGATTAAGACCCCCCCGTTCTATCCCATGCATTCACAAAATAAACGCAGGGCCTTTATATTGACAGCTTGTCCAAAGAGAGGAATTACCCACATGGTTGAGGCCCTCGCTCCATATGGCGGCAGGCTATTAACAAACATTAGTTGACTGTAATAGCAGCAGTATTAAATTCATTATCTTTTTCAGATTGTATGTGAGGTGTGTGACTTTGTATGCGTGTGTTTGTGTTTGTGTGGAGTGCCCACACTGTGTGCCAGCGTGTGTGATTAGAGAGTTCTAATGTTCCAGCTCTGGGGATTTGTAGCATAAGATAAGAAAGGGCATTAACGGTGAATTGTGACGGTCTAGTGGAGCAAAACTGTTGTTTAAAATGTGCGTATGCTTTCTTTGCCGAGTCCTTTTTACATGAAAAATTTGCATTTTGTCTCAGATTTTTGTTGCTGATTTTTTTTTAACTCAATGCTATACATACAGAAAAAGAGCAGCCACGCATGAGAAAGTGGCTGACTGCAGTTCCATCTATTTGATTTTGTATTTTCCTCACTTAACCTACCACATATCTGTTTTAATCTTACCTTAAGCATCCTTGAAATGAGGTGTAATCCACTTAAGCCCGTTTGAATCTGCTTCACAGCCATATTACACCCATTCGTCGACTCATAAACATTCTCTCTGCTAAACAGCTGCACATTGGCGGTGTCCACGAGCCAAATTGTACATTGTGTTGACGCAGAAAGATTAAAACTCTGCAGTATTTGCACTTGCAAAAAGAGCAGCCATGTTTACTCAACCTTCTCTCGCTTACAATCAATGGGCAGCATGCAGACAGGGTGAGAAATAAGTGGATAGGATGTACTTTTCATAACATTGGCTCTGTGGGCCACTGCAATGCATATGAAATAAAACAATCAAGATGCATTTGATGTGCGCACTCTCAGCTTTAATTGAGGGGGTGGAACAGTTTTATACACAGCCCTACCACCTCCTCCCCCTTTGGCAAAGTCTCAGATGCAATTGGACAAATTAACATAATCATAAATAAAATGCTAATTTTTAATACGTTGTCAAGAATCCTTGGCATGCTGCGCCGATTGGCTGAAGCCTGGAACCCACAGACATTAACCGGGGGAGTGGATCTCTTGTTGTTGTTTCTGGTTCTTTCTGACTTATTTGTCTTCATTCAGATGCATGCTGTTAATATATCAGCCCATGGATATTAGTGTACAGTGAGCACCATAAAAGTGTATAACATGTAATTACAGTACATAGTGCCAAACTACTTTTCACATCCCTGAAAAACAGTCTCACTTTTTTGTCCAATAAAAAAACAGGTTAATGCATGTTTGGTCACATCGCTCTGGGAATATCATTTGGAATCGTAACGAGGTAATTTTATGTTTTTGTTCATGTTTTGTGTGTTTTTAACAAAATTTGGTTAATAAAGTTAGATCATTCTTCTCTGTGTACGTTCACTGTGTCCTTTCATTTAAAGCTGCCTCTCTTTTGCTCCACACAGCCTGGCCCAAATACTAGTCAAAAGACAAAGCTGCGAGAAACAACAAGCATTAACGCTGTGCTCTTTTGCAAGTGGAAAAAATACAACCATTCCCTGTAAAATGTACATGTAGCGAGGCCTTGAACCACAGAATAGGTCTTCAGAGAGATTAATTCTCCTCTGTGATCCAGTTCTCATTACAACAAGCAGGGGACTCAAACACACATAATAACAGGGCTGACTGCTGTTCCTTTGTAACATGTGGCTACTTAAATGATCCTAAATAAGATAGATGACAAGGATAAAGCAAATCATAATCGGCATTTTGCACAATGGAACATAATAGTCTGCGGAGAACAAGGGACAACATACAGAGCTCCTGTTTTCATCGCCTGGAGCTGCACACCTAGTCGAGAGCAATTAAAATGAGAGGATTCAATTTTGTCAAACACCAGGAACCTGAGATAAATCTTGTATCTCATTTTCCAGCGTGAGGACACTCCCTCGTGTCGGTGCTATCATGTTTGTTATGGTATTTTTAAGAAACAGCTGGCTGCCGACAGACTTGGTAAAACAACCCCACCCCTGCCACCCTCCCACCCTTTCCCCAAATCATGCTAATCCCAATCATTTCAGTGTGAGACGCAGGGGTGAGGAGACGTTAGAGTCGGGTGAGGCTGTGAATAAAAGATGGTTTTAGACTGAAAATTTAGACAGAGCAGAAGGGGGAGGAGGGAGAGAGCAAGGCGGCACGTCACTGCATGGTTTCCATGTGGGAGCAATCCACTTACTTGAACTGATAAAGATTTAATTAACACAAGACTCTGCAATTACTCCATAATTAAAGTAATTTGTCCTCTTGTTTGGATGAGTAGGCAAGACGCCGCATGTGCCCGTGTAAGAGCAGACGAGAGAGAAAAAAAAGGGGGCGTGAGATGCTCAGAGAGGCAAAGTATGCCCCCACTTTAGTATTTGAATTTAATGCTTGATTTTCCAAACCTATTTTTCCCCACATATGTTCTAATGAAATATTTGTATCGGCTTCTCTTTAGCCCTGTGTTTATTTGCCTTTTATTTGACAACTCATTTGTTATTCATTGAGAAAGTAATAAGCTGAGTAGGCTGAGTACAAAGTATCATCAAGAGCCACATGAAATAGTAAATAGGCCTGATATAATCATAATCCTCTTCAAACTGCACTGCATACAGCTTTGAATTGTGTAGTGCTACAGAGCTGGCTGCAAGCTAAAGGAGACAAATGCACGCACACACATACAAAAAGTGGGATGGTTTTGTTTGACAACTCAAATTGCATGACTCAGAAGTGAGATGAGAGTCCTGTGTGAGGTGTTTGACCTTGGGCCTGGATAACAAAGGCTGGACCTGACTTAAAGTAAGACATGCAGGTGTTTGATTGAAGCAACAATTAGTGACTAATCACTCGAGACAGAAATAGCGAGGAATTAGCAGCACAGTCCAATATGTGGCACTGTGCTGTTGCAGTCCAATTTGCAAGAAGATTAAAAATAAAATAAAATAAAAAAAGACCTGCCAAGTTTACTATTAAAAAACCAGGGAGACAAATGTGTCTTGTGTTAGCTTCTGAGGGTTGTATGTGCTGTTACTTAATTTACACGAGGGGAAGAGCACTATCTCTTATTTACAGATGATGATCTGCATATAATTTGCCTCAGTTGCACGCTGGGTAATTGAGGTAAATATCACAGCATTCAACTTGCCAGCTGAGGTATCCCGCTGATAGCTTGGCGTACAGCCCGCAGCCACCTGTGGCATTTCACATGTTGGGTGAAATCACAGGGCAGACAGACAAAAAGAAAAAGAAAACATGTAAGGCAACTAAGGCACAACTCTGAATACAACCTTCAGATGTGTAACAGCTGGATGATTGACAACTGTTGTTGACTTTAATCCAATAACCTATATATTGCTGGCTGTTGTTAGAGGGGGAAAAATCTCATCTAAATATCTGAGGAAGTGGCACGATCACTGCTTAAAAGTTTCAGTGTTTTTTGGGGGTTTTTTCAAGGCTGCATGCACTTACAACTGATTGCCCCCCCGCCCCACCAGCCACATTTTGAAGCCAGGCCTTGAAAACTGTTTGGATTTCATTACTATCACTATGTGCAGGGGCCTACCCAGAGGAGTGTGGAGATGTACAGCATATACTTTTTCACTGATCTCTGAGAAATAATTGCATTAACCCTATACCTATATAGTTTGCAGCTCACTGCTCTCAGCTATCAAATTAAAACTACTGGAATGCTTAGATACTTTATTTAGTAAGAGTGAATTTCTTTTTGCCATTGCCCACCCAAAAACTCTAAATGCTCTGTCTGGATACAGGTAATGGTTTCCTCTTATGCTGTTAATATTCTTAAAGACGCCACCAATATATCATTACAGCACTGGATAATAAAGTTTCTTCTAAAACATCCTAATTTTCCTGTTTGGAAAACTCACTTAACAGGAGCAAACTTGCAAGCTATCATTGTCAATACACCATCTTGTTTTAGGCAAATATGACAGCTTTGTGCTCTCTGATTGCTCAGTCAACCAAACAAAAGGAACTTTTTAGTACAATTATAATACAACGACTCCCACTGAACTGCAAAATGGTCCCATAAAAGTTTAAAAAAAAGGGGGGGGGGATGATAGGAGGATCATCGTTTGTGTAAATTCTCAGCATTAGTGCAGGACATGCACCACATTTCTTACTCATGAAACTGAGAGAAGGGAAAAAGAAGTATCATCCTGCTTTATTTGCATAACCCAGCCCTGCTTAGGGGCAGGGGGACCCACCAAGTGATCTCAAAATTAGCATGCTGTCACCTTCAGTGTCTCTTCTGTCATTAAGAAAAACAGGCAAGTGTGCAGACATATGAACCTATTTCACATCTACTGCAGAAATGTTAATTAGGAAGCACGGCATCCCACAGCTCCGTTCCCCTCCCTGTGCCAGAATGACATGTTATGCATTTAAATCCTTTTCATGCGTCCTTATTATAGAGAGGATGAAGTCACATGCGAATGATGGAAAATATCATCATGGTACAATATTTTTGCATGTACACTAAAAAAAATAAATAAATAAAATCCTAAAAGCTAAATATTGCACACAACTATGCACTCCTTATACATCACGCCAGGATTTAGATGGGGATAAAAGACTATTATAATTAATTTGACTGCATAAGCAAAAACATATGGTATGTAATAGATTATATATTTAGTTTGAACTGATTAGACTGTTCTGATAGCCTAATTGGAGGATTTTAGTCCTCACTGGCATGCCAATTTAAATAATTCAATTTCTGATGTTTCATATGCATTTTTGATGCATTTATATTTAGTGTTTTTCATAACCAACATCAAACTTTTATTTATTTGCTGTGTTTTCAAGCTATTGGATCCCGCAGGCTCAGTAGCTTGAGAGGCATAATGCCAAAGGCGCTATTGTTGAGGAAACAGTGCCCTCCTGTGGTTTCATAGGGAAACTGCATACTTAAAAAAAAACTACTGAAAACAAGGGGCTACACTCATGCAGTCATTCTCTAATAAATATTAAGATGAAGCTGATAAGATAGAACAAGAAATGTGAATAAAACAGACTTGAAGAAAATTCTCTGCCTTATCTGGAAAAAAAATACTGATAGAGCAATCACAATTCAGAGCCATTTTGGCAACCAAGATAGGAGAAATGCTCATACAGAGGAATGATGAAACACATATGTAACTGTGATTAAACATTGCTGCTATGTTGGTTGTGCAAACACAGCTGAGACATCTGGAGTGTTCAAAGGCAGCCACTAAATAAAAACCAACAAATCCCCATCAGCTGCACGCAGCCCTTTAAAAATCGGTGGATCACTTTAAAAGGAGTCCCTGAACATTATCCACAAGTATGAAATAGAAACTGTCCAACTTGGTGCAGTGTTTTTTAAAAATATTTTATTCTTTGCAAAGGAGACATTAGGAGCATCAGTGCGTTCTATGGCTTGTGTACAGAGTTCCTGCTAGAGACACAAAAATAATAATAATCATAGAACAAGCCCTTGGGTGAACTGTGGGCCCCACCCATGTTTACCGAGGAGGAATGTTTGAGGCAGCTACTCTTGCAGCTGTTACAGAACACAGTCTTAAGCAATGGACACAGTGTTTGAGCCGAACGCACGTGAGGTTAGAAGGGAATGCTACCGTACAGTATGTGGCCTAGTGCTTGACCCAGCATGGCAGTTAAATAACATCAGCAGAAATCAAGCGAGTCTGAAATGCTCTGTGCTTAGAGGAAAAGTGTAATGCTGCTGACATTCTTAACAATGCCAAATATGTTTCTCTTCAGAGGGAAGCGGAAAGAAAAAACAAAATAAATTAAAAATACCATGTCCAGGACAAAGGCAGATTTCCTCCGCCTCAGATATACCTCTGAATTTTTTAATTATCATAATAAAGTCTGGGAAAACCTAATGCTATATAATAGAACATCGCCCTTAACATCTCATTGTTTTAATGCTCACTATTGTATTTCATAATCTAATGTTGGAAACGACACTCGTTTGGGCACAGTCTGGAAAGCTAACATCACGGACAGATTTGTCCCAGATTCTTCAGTTTTCAATTCATCTGCTACTTTTGTTTTGGACAACTTGACTCATCCACACACAATAGAACTTACCAAATTTGGCACAGAGTGTGATAATATCATTGTTCCCCATGAAGCGACTGAACAGCCTTGACTGTAATCCAGAGCTGTCAACATTCCACCACAGCAGCAGCAGCAGCAGCAGCAGCAGTAGTTTGGGGGTAGCATTGTTTACAGAAACACTTTGGATTGGAGGAAAAAGTGGCCGTCGCATCTTGCATGCGGAGAGAAAACAGCTCCTCCTTATATTTGGTATAATCTCTGGATGCTGCTGAGACTGTGCCCAGGTTCGACAGCGTACAAATCATTGGATCAAACCCAGCGTGGGGATAAAGCTAACAACAGTGCAGATTGAATACAGTGTGTCTGTGTGTGTTTGTGTGGGGCAGTGACAGCTAGCAAGCAAGCAGGTACGCTTGATTCATATGGTTGTACGGCTCCGGCGATTTATTTAACTGAAAGCAGGCTTCGATCACACCTTGAAAGCAAGTTGTATAATCAAAGCACCACCAGCGAGAAGGGTCAATGCATTTCAGTACATTCATTGTCAAGCCCCTGCGACCTTGTGTTAAATCCTGCGTTCTCTCTGGTAGCGTTTTGGGGATCGGGGTGAAGCGATGCAGGGTGATTTTAACGGCCCGAGGGCACCCACGCAGTCCAATCCACACGCACACAATCACACAAACATGCACGCACACATACGCTCAAGCATTCTCACATACATTATATATGCTGGAGAAAAATATATTAACATTTGCATTAAAAAACAGTACAAGGGCCTCAGTGTAATAAAATACCTCTGGTGTTAGAATCTGTGTGGGTCGTTATTTTTCTTACACCTTCTGCAAAACTATCTCTCTCTTTACCTTCAACAAAATATCTTTTTGTCAACTATGAAAAATATTCCCATAGTTTGATGGGATTTGAGGCACTGGATTATATCTCTGTACATAAAAAGTCTTCCCCCCAACTCTCCCTCAAAGTTTGTTCGGCAGTTAGAAACCGCCTCCGGAGAGCTACAAGATGTTGATGCCGTTACGGGTTAAGGACCAGGATATCAGTGTGGACCATTTAACAAGTTAACTATTAAAACTTCCATCTTCACCTGGCTTTTCTCTCAGCCAACAGTCCAGCTGTCTGGCTCTGTAAAATCTTGGTTTCAGGCCCACCAGGAACTGAATTATATACCCTCCCCCACCCCAGCCCACATATTTCCCAGAAGACTCAACTACACCTGCTTGCTATAATTTGGTTCAGTCTGATTCATGAGTAAATTCAACTCATTCCTTCTACAACCTTAGTGTTACAGCCCTCTGATGGAAAACCAGCAGGCATTGTAGTTTACAGCCCAGCACTGGAGCGTTGTTTAAAGAGGTTTGTTGGCAGGACAGCTAAAACAGTATTTAATTCTGGAGGAGCCGTGCGTCTGTGGTCCAGTGTGCTTCACATCTCTGTATCCTGCAGTGGCCATCCAAACAGCCACAAAAGGCCCCGAACAATCTGTAATGGCTCTCTATTGTCAATCCACAGTACATGACCAGAACCTGAAAAAGGCTCGCTTCGTTCCAGAGCTGGCTTACATAAATGAAAGAAAGCACAAAATAATCTTTCACTGCATGTCAGCATTCCTGTTTAATCTCCTCTGCCAGAGCAAGACCCCTTAAACTCAGTCCACCGGACCCTGGAAGATTAGCTTGGAATAGCCCTGAGTTGGGCCAAGTTGGGTGGCGCAAAAGGGGCAGGCTGCGTGGAAGGCGTGAGTGCCGTGGGGCAGAGGGATCTCTGACCAGTACTTGACCGACTTCTCTGAACACACATGTCCGCATGGCACGAAGGCGTATGTGGGTGCACCTGTGTCCACGTAGAAGGCCGGCTCGCAGCCCAGCCACAGTGGCACGTAGGGCCCCACCACCCGGCACATGGGACACTCTCGCTCAGTGTTGGCCTCCTGCTCCGAACGGTGGCCCCAGTTGTGGTAACCGTGCACGTGACCGCACGCCAAGTACACCCAAGGCTGCTTGTCTTCCAGAGATGAAAGGGCACGACTCCGGTGCATGCTGGGGAAGGCGAGGGTATTGAGACCCACAGGGCACTGGGGGCGCGCTGCATTGATCTCCTGCCTGAGTGCCTCCAGGTGCTTTTGCGTGGGAGTGTGGAAGAGGCCTTCAGCAGTACGCCACAGCAACGTTGCTCCACACAGATCCACCAGGGAGCCGTCCTGTAGAATATTGCTCTCATTCTCCACCTGCGGAGGATAGTGAAGTGCGCACACATTTACCTTCTACATGGGGAAAAAAATCCACTGCCTATGACATGCTGATATTTCTTGTTACTACATTGTACTACAGACTGACAACCTTTAGTTCCTGTTACTGCTGAGTTTCAGACATAAGTCCCACCCAAATGCCATTTAAACCTTTTGTGTACAATAGGCGACTCAGCAAACATGGATTATTTCAGACTTTGGATCAAGATAATTACTTATTCTGATTTGGGACTCATTCAAAGCTACTCTAAGAGTGGCTGTGGAAGAATTAAAATAATAAACATAACAGGACCACTTTAATATTCTAAAGTACTTCTCTAACATCACAGTGTCACTGCATACATACACTGATACATTTTAACTTTTCAACTACTCACCAGTTTGCCTGGGGTCTGTGCTGAGCGGGTCTCTCTCAACGTGTAAACATCCCCACAAACAGAGATCTCTCTCCACACGCCGGGCTTGGACTCCTCAGTGAATCCCCCCTTAGGGTGCATTACCAGCACACCATTGGTTGTTAAGCCGTCCATGTGACCATCAGGGTTTTTCCATTTTGCAGCTTTTTCCTACAGGCAAGACAGAAAATGGATGATGACACAAACTGACATGATGTATGGCATTTCACTTTTTACGTAACAGTGCATGTGAAACAGTGGTTTTCTTTATCTGGTTACAAGCTTCAAGGATTAGAAGCACTAAAAAAGAAAAAAAAAGGCAGCCATGTAACCTTACAGGCTAAAAAAAGTAGCATAGATAGAGATGGTGCATAATCACAATGGTACACCGAGTTGTAATTACCCCAAGGAAGATGTTTTTGGACGTATCAAATCCGGCTGCATAGATGCGAGCGGTGTAGGGCGGGGTGCGTTCGCAGACAATTCGGCAGGCAAAACGAGAGATGGTACTCTGCGTGATAAGAGTCTCTTCACCCTCCTGACCCCCTGCTATTGTATCAGTCACTACAAAGTCTATGGGACTCTCAGTAGAACGCCCAATCTGCAAAAACAACACAAAAATAATAATTAATATTATGCTGTGCTGCACAACAGTTTCGAAAGAATCTCAAAACAGTGCAATTAATGAAGAAAGGTTCTTTTTAATTCAAACCAGACACAGCAACTGTTCTGCATCCTGCTAGCTTATGTACGTGCACAAGCAAACACACACAGAGTATCCATATATATTTTAATGGGCATAATTTTCAGCACTTGGAAACAGTTCAAGCTGACAGAGGCAAAAATAGGCTTTCCTCCTTTCATTTCCTCTTTTTCCCCTTACACTGTCCTGAAGTCCAACATTTTGAGTGGCTTCCTCTTCTCTCTGGTGCGTTCAGTATTGTTTAGTCACATGGGGAAGATAGGGTGCTGAATATGAAGCATGTGTCTGTAACATTAACATCCCTTGGCTCATCACTGCCTTGCTGTACGTTCAGATTAATACTGGAGCAGTGTAAACCGGGCACAGATGATTTTTATTTATATGATTGGACGTGTTTTTGAACATTTATACTTTTTGTGTGTCTTAACTTGCTTTTCTGCTATTACAACACTTAATTTTCTTACTTACTTTACTTATTTTACTCTGTGAAAAGCATTTTATACATAAATGTTTAACTTTGCAGTCTAATCAGGTGGTTGTGTATAACCAAAGTGGCTAAAAGAGCCCAAAGACACGTTGTCAATCAGTCAAATTAAAGCTTACATCCATATTTTCATTTATCCCATTCATAAAGAGCCATTTGAAATGACAATCTAAAGATATAGCAATTACTGTTCTGACAGCCTTTGAAGCCCCTGTAGGCAATATAACAGAACACAAACAATAAAAGGGCAATAAAATCTTTGCAACAACTGTCAGTCCTTAAAAAAACAAAACAGGTTAAGTAGCATCAAATTCAAACAACATGTCTTAGCCACAGAACTAGCAGCTCTCCTGCTGTTAAAATTACAGCCACATCCTGCCATGGGAATGGGGAACAGGCTCTGACCATTTTTGGCTGTCAGAGAGGAAATACTCCTCCTGGCTTTACTAGATCGAAACTGGTAATGTTAGGTATAGAAGTACATTTTAAAAAAAGCAGAACAAAAGCCTTTTTGTTCTATGTTTTCTGACTATAAAGAAGTACGGTAATCGCTGAGAAACTAATGTATCTGAATGCAGTTGTGTGCCAAAGTAAAAGTGAACGGACTTTTACCTGAAACATATCTGTGTCTTTATCATGGCTGTACTCTACCACTACGGTGTGGTTCCTCGATAGCGTGTAGGAGATACTGTGCTGACCTTTACAGCTCACAGCCTGAAATGTGAAAACAAACAAACAAAAAACCCAACTTGTTCATAACAAAGTACACAGTGCAACAGTATAATAAATCATCATCCAATCTGTGGCTTTATCACCGGATCTGAGAGTGCCAAGCAGCACAGCAGAACTACAGTAAAACCTTCCTTGCACAATCCTTTCCTTGTTGGTGAGGTTAAATTAAAGACCAGAGCAAAAGTCAAACCCACTATTAAAACACATGGCACTTAAGTGATGATTCACTTCCTTAGAATCAACAACTACGAGGTGCTCCTGGAAGAAAACATGTTATTGTCCTTATTTTTGTTTTGTTATTGACAACTTGGAACATTTCTATGGATTATTAGCGTGCATGTGCGGTTTTTTACAGCTCACAATTAAGCCAAAGCTCTACAGGCTTATTGTGTCATTTTGTCATGATGTTACCAAAATCCTAAAACCTATTACAAGAATTTTTTGGGAAGCGGAACAAAAAAAAAAAAAAAAGACTGTGTAAAGTCACACTCGCAAAACAGTGACCATAAACTCCCTGCTGGCCTCGGTTAACACAAGCTCGCCAGGCAACTGAACTGCTTCACGTCAGTGTAGCGAGGAAGGCTTGGTTAAAGCCCGGCCCCAGCTTCCATCAACACTGTACCACATGCCATCTCTGCTCTAATCTGCAAAATTCCATTTCCTAAACATCCCCCTCCTCTTCGTCACGTGCAGGAGGGAAAGCGGGAGAGGGAAAGTGGGTCATCAGAGCTGCCACGGTCTGCTGTAACATCAGATGCACACGGGGACAAATGTCATCATCGCATGCAGTCTTGTCTTGACTGCGCTGCTACAAACAAATGGTGCTCCACCTGTTAAAGAACTAAAAAAAGGAGCAGTGCACACACAAATATGTATTTTTTATAAACGCTACGCCCCCAAAATATCCTCCCCAACCTTCCCGAGTGGTAGGAGTTGAAATCATAATGTTTTGAATACGAGGCTGGCAGTGGCATCATGGGAGCTCCTCATTATCTGCCATGAACACTAGAGTGTGCACCGACACGTGAGCTCTCCCTCTCAGCCGCAGAGACTCCTCAGCTCATTCGTATGCTGCACTGGAAGGGAGCAAGAATGGGTTACAGGGGGTGGGCTTCATTTTAGTGATTCACCTCTTTAATACCCCCTTCTCCTTAAAAGAAGCTGACCACCCAGCTCGTCTCTTACAGAATGGCCCTTTTTTGACCGTTTATACACCTGGATGAGCCAGGTCAGCATAAAGCAACAACCCCTGAGCTCATCCTTCAAGTCCCATAACACGGTGCCAGGGTCGAAGTGGTCAGTGAAACAGCCAGTAACTAATGTAATGCACAGTAAAAACAGCCACATCTAATGCAGATAGCAAACTATCCGAGACGTAATTTATGATGTGGAGCAGCAGAACACTTTAGCCATATTTCACAGCACACTGCAGCTCAAACTCAAACAAAATAAAGCGCAATCTCTGCCATGAAAAGGCCTCTGTCACTGAATCGTCCCAGAGCAGATTTCTGGATTCCGCAACCTGACAGTAACCTGAACCAGACAGCCTTTTAGCTAAAAATGTCAAACACTGGTCTCCAAGTGGTGCAGAGGTAAGTGGGTCTTGTCTGATGTTTAGCAGTTTTGCCTAGGAACCGAAGGTAGGAATGCAGGAAGGCAAACACGTTTTACTGGATGTGGCACTTCCCTGCAGGCAGCCTGCCGTGAAGAGAAACTCTGAAGCCCAGCTAGAAACTAGTCATTGTAGTGGAAATGTCAACATTAAGGTCTGCCAACAATAATGTAAAGTGCTTTTCACAGCACAATTTACTAGCTACCACAATCACTAAAAGGCCATTCAGCTGCTGTGGGAAAAAAAACAAACAAAAAACCCCCCAAAAAAACAAAGGGGGTTCATTTATAGAAATTATGCTTTCAACTTCATATACAGCCAAATCTTCTTATGTATATATGCAAAACCAAAACCAAAAAAAACAAAACAAAAACCCCCCAAACTATTACCTAAAAAAAAGAAAAGAAATATCACCTCCTTCTTCTGTTACGTTTTTGCACACTTTCATACATTTTGTCTGAAGAAGAAAGGCAGACAGATGTTCAATCCCACTGAGAGCCTGTTCATTAAATCACTTTAAATCATCCTTCTGTACCTTGGTGGCCTGGGGTGTGTTGAGGACGTGCACAGTGCTTGGTGATACACCATTGGGTTTGATTCTCTTGTATAGAGCAAATCTGCTTTTCCGTCTACCGCGATCTCCGTTGGGCAGGGAGCCATTGTACCTGTCAGAGATGGGACAGGGTGGAGAGAAGGACAGCAAATTGACAGTTATTTATTTCATCTGTGTGAAAATGCTAACAGCTTCCATAGCTGCAAAAAGATGTGTCTAATGAGATTTACAGGCAAAAGTCTTGTAATCATATAAGAAGTAAACACGGAGAATTAGAAACATTCGTGTGTTCTGAAAAGGAGATTTGCCACGCATTACATCACTGACAATCTAATACACCCTATTAGTAATCTAAGCGTTACCTTGGATAACGGCTCTTATTACATAATGCACTCTGGTGCTGGTGATTTCAGTGTGCGTGCACTGTGTAAACTGCAGCTGTTCTCTTGCTCTGTGTCCCAGGCAGGAGCACGTTTTAAGATGCATGTCAGGTTTGCTATCATTTTGGGAATGCACGGTCTGGGTGGATGACTCAGACACATTCTTTCAAAGCTGAATTTTATACACGGATACAGCTTACAAAGCTATCTGTTCCGTTTCCAAAATCACTTAATAACAGACTCCAGTTTTGCCCTTTAGTGTGCTGAGAGGCACCTAGCCTAAGCTGCTCTTTGTGAATGAAGAAGCCCCTTCCGGTACAACTGGTCTTCTTTCTATCCACCAGCTGGTTCCTACAGCTGGGACACCCCATGCTCGACTATCATCCAACACACAGACCTTCTGTCACACACACTCACATAAACCACAAATGTGCTGACCAGACACTTTGCACAAGATACACATTTATATTATATGCCTCAAGTTTGCACACCAATGTATCGGAGGGGAACAGAGTCTACGAGCCAAATGTAATCTGACATTTTTCCTTTCTGTTTCTGAACAATAGCAACAGAACCTCCTTCTGCTCCTTCCCACCTCCCTCCCAGGCTAGTCCACCTGTCCCATGTCTCCACACGGCTGGCCAGGCAAAGAAACACATGGTCCTAGTCAGCACAGTGCACAAAGCTGGCCTGTAGGACAAGCCACCCACAGAGAGCTAGAGAGGCACTGGAAGATTCTATGGACTAAATGCAACAAATACAAAGACAGAAAGACAGGAGGAAAGTGTCAAATGACAGCAGACCTGCTTACCTTCTCTCCTAAAGTGTTCAGCTTTTACTTTTAGTGGTGATTACTGTCTGATCGTACTCCTTTCAAGGCCATTTCAGGGATTCTATTTCCATGTCATTAGACCAGTGCACACTTTAAATGCAGACCCTTACACAGCTGTGAAATCTTGGGCTCCAAAAGCCTGAGCTGGCCTTCTCATGCTGCTTTCAAAATAAAGTACAAGTGTACAAGACATAAGTTACATTAAATCTAAAGAAAAATAAAATAATGCCCACTTTCCCCCCCCCTCAATATAGTAATTGTGTTGCTTTCATTTACAAGTAATCTGTAAGAGAAAACAAATAAAGCCCCTTTATTGATGCACACATTCCTAAGCTAATTTCACATGGTTTGTTCTCTGTACTCCACTTTTATTTGACCTGCTCTAAAAACACCCCACCTAAATAAAGACCAGCCAGCCCTACATAAAGATGTCTTTTCAGTTTAGGGGGGTCTACTGGCTGGCTACCTGCCCCTGTGTGTCTCATACAAAGCACACAATCAAATGCTATCCAGCTTAGTGTTTTTGCCATGATGAATTCTGACTGGAGAATATAACCCTAGCTCTGCAAGAAACGCAGCATATGCTTTCAATTATTCAGCATTATACCGAGGAACAATATTCTGTCATGCAGGAACTGCCACCGTCACATTAGCTAGGACAGGCTCTTTAAAGCTGCGTTCCAACTAATTGTGATCGCTTTCCCTTTTGACCCGTGCCAGACAGACAGCGGATTTACCTTCCAATACTTAGCAGCAGGGATTAGAAGACTCTGGCATATCACCTATCCTCCAGGGTTGCGGTAAGGAGCCAACAGCACCTCCTACTTCCTATGCTAACATGAAAGGCTAGTGTTCACAGAATGAGGAGAAGATATGCTGAATAGCTGTAACACTCATTAGAAATACAGAAAGTTAGGTTAGGCTTACAGGGTCACACAAGATGGTTTCTAGGTCACTAGGACTTCAGCCTATCAATACTTCATCTAAATCAATCTAAGCTGTAAAAATACATAAATAATACATCATTAACAGACAACCAGATGGCATGATGAGCAAAGACAGTATGAGTCAACTAAATGAGCATCATCCATCCATTTTCTTATCCATTTATCCAACTTAGGGCAGCAGGGGTGCTGGAGCCTAGCCCAGGCGTCACGGGGTGAGAGGCTGGGCACATCTTGGCCAGGCTGCCCGTCAATCACAGGGCTGACCCAGAAAGACAGACTACCACATACTCTCCAATGCATATTTACAGCCAATTCACAATCAACAAAAATCCCAGTGGCTGTCAAACCTCTTCTGGCATACCCCACTTTACTTTATATATAAGTAAGCACAATAGCATTAGCCAAATCTTGTTTGGTAATAAATAAAAGTCCCTCTTTTGCCTAGTTGTTCATGCCCTGCAGTTTCTGAACCTCTGAATTACCTTAACATGAGTGTGTTTGGACTGTGGGAGGATCCTGCTGCAACTGGAAAAAAACAAAACAAAACAAAAAAAAAACCTACGCAGGCACAGGACGTACATGCAAACTGCACACAGAAACGCCTCAATCCACCAAGAGGTTTGAATACTTGTTGAGTGGTGATCATGCTAACCACTGCACCACTCTAGATTAAACCAGTTACACCTTAAATCTTTAAATACTTCTATTGTAGTACTGACAAAAAACCCCAGAAAGAGATGTCTCTTCTCTTTATACCATTTAAATTACATAACATTAATAAAAAGGCACGATCTATGTCAGTCTGTACCAAAGATGCTCCCAAGTTGATTTGTACACTTTCCTTTAATGAGTGGTTCTCTAAGGCAAAATGTAGAAAGTTCAATCAATAGGCCTAGTCTCCCTGCCACAATGGACAGAGGAAGCTGAAGAGAGGCAAAGGCTGAGTCCTGATCAATCCATCCTTTCATTTGCAGGATACCCATGCAGCACCCCCTCCTCATCCTGCCTCCTTTCACTGACCAGCACCAAGCCAATCTGCGGCGGCAGAGATGGAGGGGCAGCCATGCAAGTAATAAGAGCCACCACGGTCATGGCAACAAACCGCTGAGGGAACTGCTGCTCAAACAAGCTTTGTTCCATGCTGTCAGCTATCTTGTCTACCATCAGTTTTATCAATGGGATGTGATGTCATGGCAGTGATTATAAACCCGTCACATCTGATTCACATATGTGTCTTTATGTCAGGACAGGGAACAAAAGTACCAGCTTCAAACATGCCACATACTGAGCCTGGGGTAATAAGCAGTCAGCACTTTTTATCCCTTACAATAAGCACTATGACTGCGAGTGTATGGGTGGAGGGCAGTGTACAAAAACACAGTGTAGTCTGCTCTCTGTGTAAGCCATCATTTCAGCACCTTATTTCAAATACTGTAAAGATGAAAGTCACACAGCCGCATGGACACCAGTAAATCTGAACTATAAAAATTTTATAACTTTTATAAGCGCCTCAGGACTGGCCATTGGCCAAAGTTCAGTCACTCATGTTTTCCATCATCTGTTGGCCAAGACAATACACACAGGACGAGAAGGTGACTGTTTAGAAGGATAGCTTGTGGCAATTTGTCCTAAATGAATTCTAAACAACCAAACAAAAACACACAAAACAAAATGAAAAAACAAAACAAAAACAAAAAGAGGACAAAGCAGTTATGATATAATAAAGGTAAAAGTTACACTGGCTTTATTCGGTGACAACACAGATGTGAATAACTGCTTATTTTGTTTGCCTTTTTACATTAACAGACTGTCTGTGTACTTTCTGATATTATCCAGTACAAGTGGCAACCGGATAGTTACAGAATGAACGCCAAATAATTCAAATACTTAACAGGAGTAAGTGTGCTCTTCTACAAAAGGCTTTTAAATGTAAAGAGTGATGTGAAAAACAAAGATTACTTCAACAAATAGCTTGAAAATGACCAGCGCAGGCCAGCTATCAATACATCTGATGGGCAAAATAACAGACGGACAGAATATTACCATCTTTTTTGATAAATAATGCTTTAAGTCATAATTCCTTGGCAGTTTCTTTCCCATGTTTTATATTTACCTGAAATTATATCAGTAAATGTATGAGACTGACTTCTTTTTTTTTTTTTCATTGGGTAAATTACTGATATTTTATTGACAACAATACAGTTAATGGTGAGGCTCTTATCAGTTTCTGTAGAGACTCATGACCAGTTTACTATATAGGAAAAAAATGCATGTCTACACAGGCTCTTGACACCAAGGCAAAATTTCCACTGCTGCAGGTTTGACGTAATTGTTCTGCAATGTGAAACTGTCAGAAGAGCCTTGTAAATACCTTGAAATAAGTAAGCGATAAACTTAAAGGCAAATAAGTATGGAGGCTTGACAATAAGGAACTGATTACTGATCATCTACTGGTTGGGCAAGAAATGTAAAGATGCCAGTAAGGCTTTTAAGAAGCCACATAAGATGATTTAAAGCAGATGAATAATAAAAAACACATAAATAAATAACTAAAGAACTACAGCTCGGCTTGTTTTCAACACTCTGTGAAAACATGGTGGTTCTGTGCCTGCCCAACAAAAATGACTCCATACTGAGATATAAACAAATACAAAGATGGAAAAAAACAGCAGAAAGGTAGCTTGACTGAGCAGCCTTTGATGCTGTTCCCATAGGCAGCTTAGACTCTGCTAGTATAAAGCAATTTAAGAATATATCCTGTGAGATTAGATAAACTTGTCCACTGCTTTCCCTTGTTTCTCTGACTTGCACTGGAGCATTGTGGGTAATGGCAGATACTGTATAAGGTATGGAAATCAGTAACCGACTCCTTACTACTTACTATACAGTATAATTCAGCACATACTTTGGCTGATTTTCTCTATGAACAGAAATAATGTTTTACTGTATAAATAACATTTGAATGTTCCCCACATCAGGTAGCATATCCCAATATCATTTTATCGAATTACATATATCATTACAGAGTACTTCATAAGGCTCTCGCTGTTATCCGACATTTAAGCTCCCCTTGTCTGTTAAATAAGGAATATAAGGTAACTTTTTGCAGGTCAAGGAGTGTGATTTTAAACTCTGAGAACAGTACGTGCGTGCGTGACTGCAGAAGTTGTGTTAAAGGAAGCACTCTGGGGCTGGGGGAGGGGACCATCACTACTTCCGAATTCCTAAAACCCCATGAATCCAACTTTAAGGTAAGAAGGAGCGTCCGGTCAGAGTTGCTGAATAAATTTCACTGGGGTTCCCAAAGTTGTCCCAAATCTGTCCTATTTCACGGACACAGATATGTAGACACATGCAGGCAGTTTGTAGTTATCAGGGTTGCCAGGGAATGGGATATTTAAAACGTCCACATTTGTAATTGCGCACGTGTCTGATTTGTGGGATAACGTGAGCTTGTAAATTTCTAAACAGAGCTTGACGTGCTCCCTGAAAATCATCACAGCGCCTCTTTGATGTTATATAATGTCGCCTGTGTTGGAAGTTGATCTTGAATTTAAAAAACAAAAATACACAACGCATCACTGCTAACTCCATGCTATTTTCAAAAACTTACAGTCATGTAGCTCAGGTAGCAGTGTGAGTGGCCGTTTGTGAAACTTAAAAACAAACACTCGTTTTCAGTTTCATGTCCACACTTACTCAGAAGCAAATACAACAACGATTCAACTTACCCCAGAACCACCAGCTCTCCGTATTTCACTAGGTCTATGGATGGGGCGCAGTGCTCCTCTTGGCTTAACGAAAACATGAGGCTCCTGGCTTCACTTCACGGTTAGCTTTACAGTAATAACGGTTCACAAATTACCTAAAATTCCTCCTTAAAAAGCGCGACGCAGACTCGCTTCAGATCGCGTACACGGCAGCATGTGTTTCAGTGTTCTCACGAATCAAGTTTGCTAAAAATAAACTGGTCTGAAACTTCTTCGGCGTGACATAGCAAAACGTAACTTACTTGGCGGTTGAATGCGCTCTAAAGCAGATACAAAAACAGCGAGGACCAGGGCCGGAACGTACCATTCACTTCTACTTTACTTTGTATAGGGGGGGCTCTCTACCTACGCCTTGGTTAAAATGGTATGCCTGGTCAAATTTTATTGTATCTATTCATTAAACACATAGATAATAGTACACGAGAATGCTTCATCTTTAATTAATTCTCATGTAGACAAAGCAGTTGAATCTACATTGTAATAATCATTTTTGAAACCACCCGTCTTGGTTTATGGATCGCACCTTCTGTTATGTAAACAAAGAGTAAAATCTGGGAATTCTTAAAGGGATCATACTTTTTCCTGCGTGATTGCAGTTTCCTATATTTGACGGAAATAAAGGTTTAAACGTTTTGTCATTGTATTTACATTTCTATTATTTACTGTTTCAGCAAAATGTGCCAAGGATCACATGATTTATGAGTGCAGTAGTTATGCCTACCGAGGACGGGATATCAAAAGTGGGAAAAGACATGGTTTAAAAAAAACCTAAAAAAAACCTATTCAGAATCCTCCTGGTACATTTTCAGCGAGTGTGTGGAAAAAAAAAATTGTGAAATCGGATTTTGTAATTTTGCTGGTAACCCCTTAGGCTCTTGTGTTATTTGATTATGACTTTATTGCAGCTGGCTAATGCATGTGATTGATTGTGCAACTTAATGACATCACTACGGATGTGCATGCCTCGAGGTTTTATTTTCACCACACCATTGCTCATTTTTGTCTCTGTTTTCAGCATGAAGCCTTTTGTTGGCTTCCGGTCCGTGAGTGCATGCTTATTTCATTCTGTAATGTCAGTCAACTGGCTGATGCGCATTAGTCAAATAATAACACCAAGGCCTAGTAATTTGGCTAATTGTTTTTCTGAGACTGACTCAGAAATCTAATTTATCCAAATGTCCACACGTGACACTACTAAGAACCTCTCAGCCTCTAGTAACACATCACACATTCACTCCCCCCCCCCCCCCATGCTTTTCTGGTGAAAGTGCCACTTTTGTCTAGCAGTCTCCTCCACGCTTTAATGGCTCTGTCTTGTTTAACAGGAATCTGCATGGCTGGAGGTGCTATTACTGCTTCAGCCCTGTTGCCTCTGCAGTAATGGCCTTCTATTTGAACTGGTGTCCAGTTTCAAAGTGCAATAACACCTACAGAAAACAAAAGGTAGTCAGGGAGTACAGGAGCCGGAAGGGGGGGAAAAAAGCCTCCCCACCCTCACGAACAACAACTTTATTCATTCCCTCGGGATGAATAAAGTATTCTGATAAACTTCACCACAATAAGACAGAGTATTGTGCATTTGTAAGCATTACAAGTCAAATAGTTGGCATTTGTTGAATCCCTTTAATGGTGCCACTGATAGCACGGATTAACATCAGCTTCTTCGGCATTTGTGCATAGGGATCAAGCTGCATTTGGCCTGGAACTACAAGGGCCAGGGACTGATCTTAATGCTGTGGGTATAATGAATGTTTACTCCTTTTTTGTGTCACTGTCTCCTTTCTCTTTGCTTTCATCCGCCATTGTCTTTGTAATAGAGCTCTATGGTCGTTTCTGTGTCTGTCTGATTCACGTTCCCACATGCATACCCACAGAAATACATACACACAGATTTTTTTTTTCAGGGGGGGGGGATCAAAGGCTTTCTACCACATACCACGCTGATAGGGAGCAGATGCAGGGAGTGGGCTGCTTTTCTGGAGCTGTGCTGGTGTAGTATGAGTGTAAATCTGTGTTTAGGGGGAGGAGTCAAGCATTAGCAAGCAAGAAGCATGCAGAGCAGAGGCGTACTGCAACAAACTAAATTGCACAATTGAGGGTATGAGTGTTAGCAAAGGAAACACAAGGCCCCTGTCAACTTCCTCACTGCTCTTTGGCAGGCTTTACGTGATAGCATCTCTATGCAAGAGGTGAAACAATGAGCATGTGTCTGACAAAGTGAAACCTCAGATTTATGACATTTTAAAATCTCTGCAATTTCCACACAAAGGACATCATATTGATTACAATGGCGGAACTGTAGAAAATATCCCTCATTTTAGATATACTATCAAACGTGTACATTTTTAGGCGTGTAAGCAAATGACTGTATAGTAGGAAATACCCACTTTGCAGTCAGTTGTGCACACATGGTTAAGCAGTCTGCAACAACAGGCTGTGAAAGGTGCTTCCTGCGCGATCCAGTTTAACAAGCATATCAAAGATGCTGTGAAGCATATTTGTTCGCGAGGTTTCCATGAAGGCAACAGCTAGACCTCCAGTCAGCTGACTGGAGCATGACAGTGTGGGAGAATGTGAGGAATGTGCTGATTCCATGTTGCCTGTGTTCCTGATCTGACCCGCACCCCTCCTCCAGGCAGCACAACAGTCCTGTTGTTTTAAAGGCCTTTTAACATGCAAAAGATGAGAGCAAGAGCTTTCTGCGAAGAGAAGTCACAGTCAAGTCATGTCTAGTCGCATGCAGATTTATCCTTTTGTCAAAAATAAAAAGCCAGAGGTGGCAAAGAAAATATGGAACATTTAGAAAGAATACACCCAGGCCTTTGTGCCTTTATAAGGGCTCAAGTAGAATAGTAAAATTTCACTTTCAAATGATCACAGTAGAGTGGTACTTTCCAGCATTACAGGTGTCATCCTTGGTAGGTTCTAGATTTTAGCTACTAGTTCTTTCATAAGAGTTGTACCGCTGATAGAATTTGTAAGCCTCACACAAAGCAGAAAAAGTGTCCCATAGTGAGGGATTATACAGCATGTTACTATCACAGGAACCTGGTCACACCCCAAATGTTCCATTATTGAGGGCACGCAATATCAAGCTTTTTTACTATTATACAAAAACACTTACCCGGAATAACGCCTCTGCATGATGGACATGTTTATTCTGCATTGTCATGCTGAATTTACCTGCTAGCAATCGCACCATTAACAGAAGCTTTGACTTTTCCTTTCCCCATGTTCAGGATTGTTAAGGCTATAAACAAAATCAATTCAAGTTCCAACTTAGGTTATATGCTGCCCCACTGTGGCGAGAAGAGGGAAGTGCATTGGTAGAAGGGGGGGGGGGGAAGCAGCACAGGAGGCTGAACAGATTTATCAAGCATCCCTTTTATTAACATCACCCGTTACAAAAAGAACAAAATCTTCAGTGTTAATGATCTTAGCAACAATATAGCGAGTGCTGATTACAGATGATATGGGACGCTTATTCCTAGAGTAGTTGCAGTAGGATTAAAAACCCCTACACTGTTGACCTGGCCGTACACAGCCAGGGTCACACACACTCCCTTCTGTTTGGAGCTACAGTACAGACTTGAGTACAATTTGTCCATGCATCTCCATAGTTACAGTCACGTAGTGACCCTTCAGATATGCTGAGACCTCTTCTGATCTCCCTTCTCCCACCCAGTACTGAGCCAAGGTATAACATGGAGCTATGAATGAATAAATGCATAATGGATGCACAGTTGGATAGTTTTCTGCTCAGGAGGAAAACAGATCAACAACATAGTGTATTTCAGCAGGTCCTAACTGATACATTTAAACACTACATATCTTTAAGTTAAGAAGAAAAGGACTGAAAAACCAAAGTTTGTTTAGTCGAGTTGGAAATTCGTATCACTGCCCTCTCTTAACACAAATAACAACAAAACTACTGCAGTACTCAAAAGGATTTCAGTGAAAAATACAAGCAATTTAAAACAGAGGAATGGTTTCCACATAGTTTAAATTATGCTGGATGTCATTAAGTTTAGAATAAAAATTAACTGGCATTGTTGCTAAAAGAAGAGGAATGTGGTGGGAGTGGAATAGTGTGTATTTTGGTATAGTGCCTGGAGTTAACTGTAACCTCTGCCTGCTCCTCTGTGGCCAGCAGTGAGTCTGGGAGTGGTTTGCCAGCGTTTTGGCCAGAGTCAGTTTGAGGCTGCCTACAGTACAAGTGCAGTGATAGAGGTTGAAACGGAGGAAGTGGCTGGGTGTGACAGTATGCTGTGATGTGGTCAGGATGAGACCGAAAGTCAAAGGTGGTCTCTGTAATACAGTCAGGGTGGCTGCGTGGGGGTCTCACTATACCTTGGGCAGATCTTTATCAGCCTCCTGAGGGAAAGTACAAACATTCAATTGCAAAGTTTAATCTTCATTGGTAAGATGAAAGACAGGAGTATGATACCCAATTGTGAATAACAAAGAGCACGATCAAAAGGCCTCACCCCCTCCTGTCTCTTAGTGAGTTGCCGGCTGACAGTTTGTAGCAGCTGCTGCAGTTCGGCGACTGTCTGACCCAATCCCGCAGTCATTTTCTCGTTTCTGTCAATCTCCTCCTGTCACAAACACAATTTTTTGGTCTTAACATGACATTAAAAGGATCAGATGTCACTACATAAACATTTGGTGTCACAACAGTGTTACAACACTCAAACTGCCCTTACTCTTTGTGATGACAGACTGCTGTTCTCGATCAAGTCATCAGCATTGTCTGTCACTTTTGAGAGCTCCCCTTGGATCAGATCAACAGACTGTTGGGCCTGCATGAAGGGACAGCAATTTCCGCTTGTTAGCATTGTGGTCGGCAGTTTGACCTTTATCAGAAGTGTAATGAAATCCAGATCCTTCCCGTTACCTTATACAGGTCACCGGCCACTTTTTGCCTCTCGTTTTCTTCTGCCTCCAGCTTCGACAGCGTCTCAGTGAGCTGGGTTTTCAGCTGGAAAGAAACCAGACATTTCGATATTTTGCACTGTTGACCTGGCCTTTGAGTCCCGCTTCTAGTTTTTCAGAACATATACAAATCCTCCTGCCAACATAACTACATTAAACAGTTCAACATTTGCACAGATTTCATTCTTTTCCCTGGGCCTGCTTAGACAATGTTCAAACCAAAAATAGCACTAAGCTCATGTGGGCTTTTTGGTACAAGCTGAGAGGATGAATCATAATCCAGGAAGTCCTGTTTAAGTAATAAAGTAATTCCCTAAATTTTATCAGACATCGCAATACTGCGTGTGTACTTCAGAAGAAATGACTGTAT